CTGCTGTTCTCACCCTCCATGGAGCAGATTGAGAGGGCACAGAAGCTGCTGGTGGACAACTTCAAGTGCAAGATGCTGGGGGATGTCCACTACTACTTGGGGCTGCAGATTGAGAGGGATGTTGAGAGGAGGTGGCTGAAGGTGCATCAGTCACACTACATCTCTGGTGTCATGGAGCGGTATGGTGTGACTGGGGGTCGCACTGTGATGACACCGTTCCCTGCGGGCTTCAAACTGAAGAAGGCAGCTGAGGAGGATGATGTGCTCGAGGATGAGCAGCAGAATGAGTACCAGTCACTCATTGGGAGTGTGATGTATGCTGCTGTGCATACGCGACCTGATGCTTCATTCGGAGTGGGGCAGCTAGCCAGAGTTGTGCAGCGGCCCACTGAGGAGCAGTTGGAGGTGGCAAAGCGCTTGGTGCGCTACCTCGGATCAACGGCATCTGCTGGTGTTCAGTTTTCAGCTGGTGGCCAGCTGAAACAGATTGGAGCAGATGGGATCACGCCTGGAACCTTGAAGCTGTCGTGCTTCACCGACGCTACATGGGCCTCAGAGGAGGAGGATCAGTCATCAGTTGGCGGCTTTGTGTGCATGGTCGGAGGTGGACCAGTGAGCTGGAGGTCCAAGAAGCAGAGTGAGATTGCTCAGTCTTCCGGAGAGGCAGAGTACATGGCGATGTACCATGCCATCAAGGAGATCGTGCTCCTGAGGAAGCTGCTGGAGGACATGGGAGCTGAACAGCAGGGACCTACACCACTTTTCTCTGACAGCGAGGCTGCTATTGGCATGGCCAATAATCCTATCCTGAATGGGCTGAACAAGCACATGAAGGTTAAGTGGCACTGGGTGAGGCAGATGGTGAAGGAGGGGATTGTTGAGCTTCACCATGTGAAGGCTAGCAAGCAGGCGGCAGATTTTCTTACCAAGAGACTTCCCGAGAGCGCACATTGGAAGTGTGCTAAGATGTGTGGCATGGCGTTGCACTAGTGTGGGCAGCGGTGTCATGAGTGCATGTGTGCTTGTATGCATGAGTATTTGCATGCTTTTCAGTGTGTGTGCACGCAGTCCGTTAGTCTGAGGGGGAGTTTGTTGGATGCACGTCATTCTGAGTGCATGTCATCCTAACGTCCTGCCGAGTGCTCGTGCTATGTGTGCTTGCGTTATTTGCATGAGCATATGTCATTACGCATGGCTGTTGGATTTTATCATCTCTGTGTTTTTCTCCAAGTCTACATGCTTGAACGTGCAGGAGAAATTCAGAGCTTTCCAACGATACCAAGATCGCCTTATTCCGACCAAGATCGCCCAAGTTACAAGATTTCCAAGATTTGGATTTCTTATTACCTTTTGGGGTTATATCTAATTTGGGCGATTATTGGGACATGACTACAAAGAGATCTTTGGTTGGGTGGTTAGGAAGGCAACTTTGACTTTTGGATTGGGGTGGCTAGAAGTTTCTAGCATGGGTTGCAAATGTTGCAACACCTAGGCAAAATCCAACTAGATTGGATTTTGCATGTGACACCTCAAGGACCTCATGATGAGGGTTGCATCCTTGCTGCTAGGAAGGTTCCTACTATCCTTCCCTAGCTCTTGGAGAACCCCTTCCCTCTCATGGTTCTCTTGGAGTCCCCAACTCCAACTTTCCTATGCCTTCATGCTTGTACTTCCTCCACCACTCTAGTCATGCAGCAGCTGGACGTTTTCGAATGGTTCTCACTCTCTAGACCATCTTTCTAAGTGATTCAAATTGGAGATGGTAGCTAAGCCTAAGGCGCAACATCCTACCGAGCGGATTTGCGTTTAGTTGAGTAATGAGTTCGTCGTAGCTTCTCGAAGTGACGGATCCTGAACAACAAGGCAGACGCAGCAGCAGACTCAAACGACGGGTCAGTGACAACAGTGGCTAACAGACGCGTGACAGTAGGGTGTGCAGCACGAAACCGGTCAGACTCAGGGTCCAGAACGTCAGGCAGAGAAGACGCTGGAGGAGACAGCAGAGGAACACGCTGCGGAGCAGAGGAAGGACGCAGAGCCATGAGGTGTGTGCCGGGGACAGCCGGCGGACGCGGACGAGGAACACGACTACCAGTACGACCAGTGCGGACAGTGCGAACAGGCGAGACAGGACGCGACGCAGGCTTACGACGCTCAGCAAGACCTCTCGACTGCACAGTGTAAGGAGAAGGAGCAGGCAGCGGTGAGCAAGGCGACCTGTAACGGAAGACCAGCAGACGACGGAAGGGTAAGAACCTGACGAAGAACAGAGTCAGGCGGTGGCAGAGACGACGAAGACGGTGGAACGAAGAACAGTTGCGCCTGTGCTGTCCCACCAGTACCAGCAGCTCCAGCACCTCCAGCAGCTCCAGCACCTCCAGCAGCTCCAGAACCTCCAGCCCCAGCTCCTCGCGCGCCAGCACCACCAGCAGCTCCTGAACCTCCAGCGCCAGCACCTCCAGCTCCAGCACCCCCAGCAGCTCCAGAACCTCCAGCGCCAGCACCTCCAGTACCAGCGTCACCAGCAGCAGCACCCCCAGAACCGGCACCTCCAGTCCCAGGGTCTCCAGCCTCAGTGTCTCCAGCAGCAGCACCCCCAGAACCGGCACCTCCAGTCCCAGGGTCTCCAGCCTCAGTGTCTCCAGCAGCAGCACCCCCAGAACCGGCACCTCCAGTCCCAGGGTCTCCAACCTCAGTGTCTCCAGCAGCAGCACCCCAGACGCAGCACCTCCAGCCCCAGCAGCTCCAGTACCTCCAGTACGAGCACCTCCGGGACCAGCGACTCCAGCACCTTCTGCAGACAGAGTACCAGCACCACTCCCAGCTCCAGCGACGTCAGCAGAAGCACCTCCAGCGGCAGAGCCCCGAGCCCCACAGCGCGACCCTGACGGCAAGCGTACCACTCGTGCAGCTGCTGTGGGGAGAGAGGCGCACGCGGACGAAGGCGGCCACTCCAAGGAGACCGCGCACTAGCAGGCTCAGTACCCTCAGGCGCCGAACCCCCAGACTCAGCACCCCCAGGCTCCTCACGCTCAGGCTCAGCACAGCCAGACGCAGCACCCCCAGGCTCAGTACCTCCAGGCTCCTCACGCTCAGGCTCAGCACCTCCAGGCTCAGCACCCTCAGGCTCCTCACGCTCAGGCTCAGTACCCCCAGACTCAGCACCCCCAGGCTCAGCACCCCCAGGCTCCTCACGCTCAGGCTCCGCACCCCCAGGCTCAGCACCCCTAGAGACAGCACCCCGAGCAGGACCACCCCCAGCAAGACCTGCATCAGTAGTGACCTCAACAGGCGCAGGCCCAGGCGGGTCTACCTGAGAAACACCTGAAGGAGCAGGACCTGGCGCGGGGAGGGGGTCTACCTGGGGAGGACCTGGAGCGAGAAAGAGCGGCGAGGGGGGGCGAGGGGCAGTGCGGTAGGGAAAGAGACGGTAAAAGGGGACTGACTCGTCAAAGGTGACGTCCTGAGACGCAAAGACACGGCGCGAGGCGGGGTCGTAAAACTGCCAGCCAGGCGCGTCAGGAGGAAAACCAAGGAAGACGCAGGGAATGGCGCGAGCGGAGAGCTTGTCCGCGGTGGTATCGCGGACAAAGGCACGAGCACCCCAGACCCGGAATCGCGACGCATCGCCAACCTCCCCCGTCCACAGCAGCGTGGGCGAGGTCTCCGGCAAGGAGACACGGGGCCAGAGGTTGAGCTGATGCGCGGCGTACCGGACTGCAAACGGCCACAGAAAATGGGGAGTCGCCGCATGGATCATGGAGGTACGAGCGGCCTCCATGACTAAGCCAATGCGGCGCTCAGCAACCCCATTATGCTGCGGAGAGGCCGGAAGCGTGAACGACTGGCGGATGCCGTGCTCCGCACAGAAGGCTGCCAAGAGGTCGGAGGTGAACTCACCACCTCTGTTAGAGTGCAGACGCAGGACAGGAAAGTCCGACTCGAACCGCTCGCGGAGCTGGAGACGAACAGCGCGGATCCAAGGGATCAGAACAGCAGGGACATCCGCCTTGCGCTGCAAGGGGAAGACCGTGGTGTAACACGTGTAGTCGTCGACAACCAGCAGGAAGTACCGCTCGCGGCCCTGCCACTAGACGCGGGCCGGGCCCCACACATCCAGGTGGAGAGTCTGCAGCGGAGCCTCTGTGGGAGGGAACGAGGAGGAGTGAGGAGCGGCGCGCTGCCGCCCCTCGACGCAAGGAATGCAGGGCGGCGCAGGCGAGGGAGGGAGGGCAGGCAGAGACCTGGGAAGACCAGAAACCAGGGAGCGAGACTAAGGCAGGGAGGGGTGACTAAGGCGGTGGTGCCAAAGGAGAGTTTGGTGCGGCAGGCGCCGACACTCACACTGGGTAGCTACCTGAGCGGACGCGTACAGCTGAGGAGACAAAGGGGTGTAGCGCGACACAGTAGAGAGGGTGTACAGACTGGACCCAGGCGCACGTGTGAACGTGGCCAGGTGGCGGCCAGTCCGAGAGCACGTGCAGTGTGTCACCCGCTGTCCTCCAGGAGTAAAGGTGTCAACCCAGTGATCCTGAAGGACGGCGGTGCTCACCAGGTTCGTAGAGAACGAGGGGATGTGAAGACCTGACAGCTCACCGGACGGGACCGCCGGGCACGGAAGCACAGTAGTGGACCGTGCAAGCACTGGGCCCCCAGAGGGGTCAGCCAGTGAGACAGGGACAGGTGCAGGGAGGGGAGTGACTGTGGTGCTGTCGCGAAAGAAACAGCGGGAAGCACCAGAGTCAAGTGTAAAGGTGTGCAAGGCCTGAGCGGACGCAGTACCAGGGAGAGCAGACTCACTAGCACCTAGGGCTGCAGGCGCTATACCTGGGTCAGGCGGTACACACAATTAGCAGTCACCCTCAGCACTAACAGTCAATGCATACATGGCAGCAAGAATAGCATCATAGTCAAGATCAAAGATAGGTACATCACGCCTAAGCAGGTCTGCCCAGTTGGGGAACTCAGTAGCCTCAGGAAACTTGACGCGCCAGGCGTCGCTAAGCCGAGCAAAGCAGCGCTGCTGCTGCTGCTGCTGCTGCTGCTGCTGCTGCTGCTGCTGCTGCTGCTGCTGCTGCTGCTGCTGCTGCTGGGGCTGCTGCTGCTGCTGCTGCGGCTGCTGCTACTGCTGCTGCTATCCCTGTCCCTCTCTGGCCGGCTCCACCCCAGCCCGCACCACTGCTGCCACCACCACTGGCTCCTCCCCCACTACCGCCGCTGCCACCGCCACTGCTCCCGGTACCACCGCCGCCCCCACCACCACTGCCACCACTCCGACCACCCCCACCTCCTCCACCTCCCCCGCCGCCACCACCACCGCCCCCTCCACCGCCACCTCCACCTCCCCTGCCAGCCCCTCTGCCCCTGGCGCTTCGGCGCTTCTCACTAGGAGCGGAAGCAGCCCCGACCTCCTCAGCACCAAGGAAGTCGACAGCAGCAGCAGCAGAGGCGTAGGAGGGGGCAAGGGGGGAGGGGGAGCACCCCTCAAAGAGGGGAGTGCGAGGAGTGCCACGAGCCGCACCCACAGCAAGGATGTTCTTCTCAGCTGCGAGGAGTTGCGTCTCGAAGTCGTCGACGGTGAGAGCGGTAGGGTCTAGAGCGAGAAAGTGGTCCCTGACTGAGCGAAGAGTGTCTGTGAGGCGGGTGACGAGGAAGTAGAGCGTAAAGTACATCGGAGGGGTGTTCTTGGCGAGGAACTCGTCTGTAAGGGCGGTACGAAAACGAGTGTCACTAGCGCGCAGGTGAGAGATGAGGTCCTCAGCAGTGTGAAACGAGGACAGGTCGGGGAACAGGTAGGGTAGCATGAGACGACCTAGGGCTGCAGTGGCCGGGGAGGAGTAGCGCGCAACTACAGCGTCATACAGTGCCTTAGCAGTCTTGTGCTGGCTAAAATGCGCGCGCTCAGTGATCAACAGATGATTGCGAAAAGCGAGGCGCACAGCAGCATCGCGAGTCTGCCACTGTGAGCGGTCAAGAGCAGGAGCAGTGTCAGCAGGAGCAACGGCAGTGCCAGACGTGTGATCGAACAGTGAAACGCCTTCTTTGGCATCAGTCATAAGAAACAGTCGGAGGTCGTCGAGCCACGTGGCAAACTCTATCGGACGACCGTCGGGCTCAAACGCGAGAACATTAAACGCCGCCATAATCGCAGTGCAGGCAGAGGAGTAGGCGAAGGCAGCAGGCAAAGGCAGCAGGCACAGGTAGTAGGCAAAGGCAGGACTGTGCGCGGGGCCGCAGAGTGAGCGCGCAAGTAGTAAGGGCGGCGTGCAAAGCAGCCGCAGGCAGCGCAGGCAGCGCGCGGGGCAGCAGCAGGCCGCGTGCAGGCTGCGGAGGCGCGGCGCGAGCAGATAGGGCAGCACGCGGGGCTGTGGCGGGCCGCGCGCGGGCTGCTAAGGCGCGGCGCGGGCTGCGCGGGCTCGGCGCGGGCTGCGCGGGCTCGACGCGGGCTGCGCGGGCGGTGCACGGGGCAGCAGCAAGGCGCGCGCGGGCTGCCGAGGCACGGCGCGAGCAGCGAGGGCGACGCGCGGGGCAACAGCGGGCAGCGCGCGTGAATTAGGTCTGCACGCGAAGCAGCACCAGACAGCGCAGACAGCAGATAGCAGGCAGATGGCGCGCGTAGTGCAGCACGTCACAGTCACAGTCGTGGGGTAGCAGTATGTGGGCCCGAAAAAAAAAAAAAAACGGTCCTACGGACCTACTGCTCTGAAACCATGTCAGAAACTAGAGACAGGAATGAAATGACTAGATCAGGGTTTGGTACAAATATGAAACCCTAATGGGGTTGTACCCCATATTGGCTACCCCACTACAGCCTACACATATATAACATGCATATAATTTGACAGTAGACCCCTAGGTCTATAACACGGGTACGCCAAACAGGTCGTTTGTGGTAGTTATACCCACCTTTTGAGGGGCTAACATTATAAGACCCCCACTCCCCCTAGAGACGAGGTCAATTTATAGGCAAGGAATGAAATTCCGATACATTTCTATCCATTTCTACACCAAAACCCATTACACCTTCCTTAATGAGGGGTAACAGTCAGGGCCCACAATATTAGGGCAAAACATCCTTATTACCCTGATTTCAGAATGTTTTTATGCATTTGCCCCGTAATTTTAGGATCATGCTGATTTTTACCCTGTCACGTCATGATAATGTCGAATGTTTCGGCTGAAATTTCAGGATGGGCATGATATTTTGCCCTGAAGCGTGAGGATGAAAGTGAGGAACGCCCTGACGCGAATAGAGGAGGGAGGGGGGTGGGGGGTAGAAGGGAGGGCTGGCGTTCGTTCCCCCTTAGAATCTGGTCCTGCCTTGGCGCGAACGATCTTTTGCCATGTTGCACATTTGTTTTACCGCATGCACCTGAGTTGCGATGTTCTCTTGTTGGCACACTACATTACTAATCAGGGTCTTGCGATTCTTTTGCCCTGAGATTTCAGGACAAGGCTTACAAGTACCCTGAAACTTCAGGATGGCCATAAAGTTTTGCCCTGAAAAATCAGGGCATTTTTTCACATTTTCAAGAGTTGCTCTGAAGCCTCAGGATGCCCCAAACCCTAGGACATGCCCTAGTAACAGTCAGTCACAAAAGCACATCTATTCATCATCTTGTCCAGCAACCCATTCCTCTACCTCCTTCCCTTCATATCGCATGTGATATCCCCGTCATATCCATGTCATACCTGCTAAAAACGGAGCACATACTCTTCGCATGTCTGATACACAAGTATTATATATGACCATATGATACGACACGAGTCTTATAAAAGATAGCCAACTGTTAAGACGCCCCCGCATTTTTGGGGTGGGATTCTTATAATACCCTCAGGTCTTTTATCCAGGGTATTACGGTAGAACAGAGATCACAACGTAGTAGGAATAAACATGCAGTTACCGTTTATATATTTCAAAGTGGAAGGCGAAGTCAAGAAACAAGCGAGTGATGCAGACCTAGAGCGGTGCAGAAATGCTGATGGTCACCAGACCCAAGGGCCTAGGTGAAGATATCAGCAGTGTTGGCCTGTGAGGCCACGTAAGCAAGGCGAACCTGGCCATGCTGATGTAACTCTCACTCGAGAAAGTAACGAAGAACATTGTGCTTCGTTCTATGCTCCAATCTCTGCTACCGACACAAGGCAATCATGGCGTTGCTGTGGGCGTACAGAACCGGAGGAGAACGAGGCCGCTCACCCAAGTCAGCCGGCAAGTAGGTCAGCCAACGTAACTCCTGTGCAGCCCTAGGTCACAGCTGGACCTAGGCATAGAAGACGAGCGAGTGGACCCCACGAGACAGAACCTGTGCCGAGACTGAACGTGTAACCCTGTGACAACTGCTGAGTCTCCTGGCCACCAGCCCAAATCGCGTTTAAGTGCCTTCTGAGCACAATTGGGCCCCGTCCTCCAAGCACAAGCCCCATGCCTGATGTACTGCACAAGCAGAGCAGTACCCCCATAGCAGCCCGGTAATACTCAGGCGGTGTCTCCCGGACGCAACCTAGTGCACCAGGATGCTGAGAGGGTATGCGAGGTCAAGTCGAATGCACGTCATCAGGTACATAAGGCAGCCCACAAGCTCTAAATACGGACCTGTCGGTTCTACGGACTCGTCCGAAGGTGGAGTTGAGAGCGAGTGGTTCGTAGGCAGAGGAGTGGACTGTGGCGAGGAGAACTGAAAGCGGAAGCACTGAAAGACGTGCTACACCATGTGGGGCTGAGTCAGAGTGATGATACGCTTTGCTCTATCCCGGGTGATCTGCAAGCAAACATAGCTCCGCACCTCACCCAGTGTGTTTGTTGGGCAGCTCCGCCTTCGCAAGAGCCAGCGCCTCGGTGTCTGCAGTAGCAAAGACCAGGTTGTCAAGGTACAGAGGATGTAGAACGGCGGCAGTGAGGTGTCGGTGCGTAGAAACAGCAACGAGTCAGCAGTCAAGGGAGCAAAGCTTAAAGCCGCAAGCGTTGTCCTCAGTGTGTCGTGCCTCTTGCGGGGCGCCTAACGGAGACCGTAGGTTGGCTGCCGGAGGCTCCACTGAGTACCTGCAAGCCCAATGAAGCAAGGTGGGTGACGCAGCCAGATCTCATCGTGAAGTTGCCTTGCAAGAATGATGTCGAAAAGTCGAGCCAGTGCAGCTCGTAGTTATGTTGTGCTGCATGTGCAGTAATACCCAAAGAGTCGTCATATTCGGAGTGGGGGAGAAGGTCTCAAAGAAGTCGACTTCTGACGCCGGCTGAAGCCTCATGCCTCGTAACACTCCTTGAAAACAGACGAAGAACCCAGTGGCCGCTTCACACTGAAAATCCACATGCCATCGACGATGTTCACTCCAAGAGGGGAAACTGCGTCATCGTAGGTGCCGGTGGACTTCTAGGATGCCATCTCTGTGTCCATGGCTGTCTGCCACTGAGATGAGTAAGGACCCATGATCACCTCTGTTGTAAGAGCGCGGGGTCGGGATGTCCAGTGCATCTGGGTCTCCCTCAGGGGCAAGCAGCATGGCAGCGAGATGAGGTACAATAGTCGCAAGGCACTCTAGCTCAAACAGCTCGTCGTCAAGGACGTCTCAGCCAAGGGCTAGCTCACCCCGACGGTAGGAGGACAGCCGGACTCCGAAAAAAGGCTCACGAGGTAGTCAAGTCGGCTAGCAGCGGCAAAGTCAACGAACTCAGTGACTAAGGCAGACGCAAGAGCTGACTCAAAAGTAGGGTCAGTGACAAGTGTGGTTAGAACACGTGTGACAGTAGGACTAGCGGCACGAGCAAGGTTAGACCCAGGGTCAGGAACGTCAGGAAGAGAGGACGCTGGAGGAGACGGCAGGACAGGACGCTATGCAACAAACAAAGGACCAAGTACCATAGTGTGCTCACTTCAAACAGGCGGAGGGCGAACACGGCGAGCACGAAGAGTAACAGGTGAGGCAGGACGAGACGCAGGCTCACGACGCTCAGTCAGGGAGTCTGTCAGCTAAGTGTAACGAGAAGGAACGGGCAGTGAGGAGTCAGGCTGTAACTGCGTCTGAGAGTGGTCAGGCGGTGGAGTCAGTAGAGGAGGAGCAACATCAGTGGTAGGCAGCTCTGTAGAGGCTATGGAAGGAGAAGAACTTGGTAAAGTGCTGAGCCAGGTGGTGGCAGTGATGACTGCGGGTGCTCCCGAACTGTCGCCGCAGGGATGACTGCGGCTGCACCAACTCCATAACCTCCAGCGGCAGCACCGCCAGCTCCAGCACCTCCAGCTCCAGTACCTCCAGCACCTCCAGCAGTAGTACCTCCAGCACCAGAACCTCCAGCACCGCCAGCTCCAGCACCTCCAGCTCCAGTACCTCCAGCACCAGAACCTCCAGCACCTCCAGCTGTAGTACCTCAAGCTTCAGCACCCCCAAAACCTTCAACAACGGAATCAGGAAGAGGCAGCGACGACTCATGCAGCTCCCAAAAATAGAGGGGTCACAGTAGAGGCTGAAACGCACTAGCAGAACCTCCAGTAATAGTACTCTTGACTCCACCACCACTAGGACGCTCAGCAACCCTAGAACCAACACCAACAGGGTCAGTGTTGGTGCAACCCTACGGTTTGCACTCGGCTTGTTGTCCGTGTGCGTGCATGCGTAAGTGCATGAGATGTTATGAGTGCATCAAGTAATATATATTTCATGCTTATAATAATGTGCAAATGATGAGTCATGATGTCAAATGTGTGTGTCGAGTCAATAGCGAGTTATCTCTAGTCACGTGTCACGTCGTCGTTTGTGTCTCGTGCGCGGTTTTTAATTCGACGTGTGTCAAAAGTTCCACTTATCGTAGGTGTGTGTAGCAGACCCTTCAAGAACTTAAGGATGAGTTTCTGATGAAGAACCAGAGCCTTGGTTTCAAGATCGAAGTAATTTAGAAATTCGCCAAAATGGTAAACTTTAAAACAGTAAGAATAGTTACATTACAATGAGTAGTGTCTCTCTTGGTGTAGGCCCTTGTGGAGGGTAGTTTCGAGACCCTTCGTGGTTGGGGACAGTTTAGCACTCTTCCACATTACTGTTCCTCGACTCTTAGGGTTTGTAG